TTCCCCACTTCCTCCGCATCCTCGTCTTCCTCCTTTTGTAGGGACACCATTAAATGTCGCGCGCGCGCGCGCCGCGCCGCCGCCCGCCGCATCACAGTCTCCCCGATCTTGCGCTTCGTCTTTTCCGTGTGCACGAACGCCCCGCCGCCGGGAGGGAACGCCCCGCGGTTGCGCGGGATGGAGAGTGTCGCGGCGGCCGCCCGGTGCAGCGGGCACCGCGGCGCGTGCCGGCAGCGGGAGAGCGGCGTCGCTCGCGCGGGGAGCGGCGGGGAGGGCAGGAACGCTGCGTTCATCGCACAAGGGACGGCGTCACGGGGAATTGGGCATCTAACGGTGGGGGGGAGGGGGAGGGGCGTGGCCGGTTGCTTGAGGCATTGATAAGGGTTTCGAGGGCGAAGGGGTGGCGACGGTAGCAATGCCCAAGAGCAAAGATGGACGGAGGGGATGGAGGTGAAAATCGAGATTGCCGTAGACGACCGAGTTTGTGGTCACATTTGCTTGCCTTCCCATTTCGTCATTTACACGCCTCATGTGTACAGTAGCCGCACACGTCGAACACGTGGACACGCGTCCAAGTGTCCACGACTGACACGCGTCCATAATTAACACGCGTCCACGACCGACACCTGTTCCATATCACCACTTGGGTCCTGTTGTGTTTTGATCCCTCTCGGAGATCGGCCTCCATGCATCCACTCCCTTATCCACTTCACCACCTTCCCCTCAACCCGACACCACCTCTCCGTCCCCGCCATCCTTCCCCCAGCCATGGCCGCCCCCGCCTTTCTCACGCCGGCCCTGCCCCTCTCCCCGCACCCCCATTTGCTCCGCACCCTCCCCCACATCACGCGCCCCCGCGCCCGCCGTCTCTCATTCCACCGCCACCGCCGCCGCACCGTCTGCACCTCTTCCCCGTCGCCATCCGACCCCGTGCCGCCGGCGCTGACCAGCTCGCCCTCGGCCATCTCCTTCTCCACGGGCGCTTCGTCCGGCTCGCGCCTCAGCGATGCGCTCACGGAGGCCGCCTCGCGCGCCCTGGCCAACCTGTCGCCCGGCGGCCCGCCCTCCCTCGCCATCGTCTTCGTGTCCGCCTTCTACTGCGTGTCCAACGTCGGCCCTTCCGGCCGCGACACCATGGACTTCGTCGTGCCCAAGCTGCGCGCGCTCGTGCCGCGCCTCGCCGCCGTCGTCGGCTGCACGGCCGCCGGCGTCATCGGCCACACCGCCACGGGCGACGTCGCCGAGGTGGAGGGCGCCCCCGGCGTCAGCGTCACCCTCGCCAGACTCCCCGGTATTCACGTCAAGACCTTTCACGTCATGCCCGACGACATCCCCAGCTCGGACACATCGCAGGACGAGTGGCAGCGCCTCGTTGGCAACCCCCAGGGCGCTAATACCACCCACCCCCCCGCCTTTATGATCTTTTCAGGCACCAGTTTTGCCGAGAAGGGCGAGTTGGATCGCTTCTTGTCGGGCTTGGAATATGCCTATCCGGGCTCGTCGGTTGTTGGGTCCTTGGCTAGTACGGCTGCGGGTAATGCCCAAGGGCACTTGTACTGCACTTTGCCCCGCGATGTGCTTTCAGCGGAGAGCAAATCCATGAGGGATTCGGGGCTCGTGGGAATTTCATTGACGGGCGATGTCCAGCTGGATTGCTTGGTGTCGCCGGGCTGCCGGCCCATCGGGCCGGTGTTTGAGGTCCGCAAGGTCGTTGAGGGCAACGTCTTGGCGGAGATGGAGCTCGTGGGACGCCCGTCTACTTCTCTTTCGGCCGTCGGGCATTTGAAGAGTGTCATTTCGTACGCGACGCCAGAGGAGAAGAGACTCATGCAGGAGGAGATGCTTGTGGGCATTGCGGTAGACACGATTGGAGGAGCTGGGGACGACGGCGACGACGATTACCTTATTCGACATGTAGTTGGGACGGACATGGTGGTAGGCGGCATTACTGTTACGACTAAGATACGCCCCGGGCAGCGTGTACGGTTTTTCATCAAGGAAATGGAGGCCGCACGGCGAAAGCTTGATGCGACGATGCAAAAATATAAGCGCATCGAGCTGGCTAATAGCTTAGTTGGATATAGCAACCCGCCATTTGGCGCAATGGTATTTGTGGACTCTAGACGTGGACGGGCGTTGTTCCGCGAGCCCTTGATGGAAACGAAGATTCTTACTTCGTTCGCGCCTGGCGTGCCTGTCGCTGGCTTTTTCGGTGGGGGGCAAGTGGGACCATGTCATTCCGGAGAGAACGCGCTTAACACCCCATCGGTTTTGCACACTGGCTGTAATCTCATCGCGCTTGTCAGGAGAAGAAGTGGGATGAACCCTGTAGACCCGGTAGATAGTCCCTCGACCTCAAATGTAGATCTTGGAAGCGATGGTTCAAAGGAATAGAAGGGCACCAAAGATTGGTCGCGGAATAAAAGAGAAAGACACCAAAATAGAACACAGCTTCTACGTGAACGCAAGACTCATCGAGATGGAAAGGGGTGTTTACGATTACTCTTTCCGAAAGTGCTACTTCTTTTGAGATGAAAGATGTTGGAGTTCTAAACGAGCGTTTTTGATTTTCTTCTGCTAAACTCGTACAGCACATGGTGGCTGCCGTGCGAAAAGAAAGCAGTACAGCAGTTTGCCTGCGTTGCTTTGCATCACGACCACAGTTTATTCCGAGAGGTGCTGTATCTACTGCTTGCCATATACAGTAACCCCTCTGTCTCCGATGGAGGCTGGATCGCGTGCAGGAGGATCCATTGTATGTAGAGTGAAACACGGCAAGCCTTCCTCCTGCTCAGCATAGCACTTATGCCGACCATCAGAGCTGGTATCTGAAAGCAATGGCCCCTCTCTACTCACAAAGGATATGAGTCTCCCGCCTCCAAAGCATATGGGTTTGTATGAGAAAGGACAATTCAGACTGTCAAGCAAGAAGGAAACGTCTTGCTTGCCGTGAAGCAAGGGCTCTTCCTTCCGACATGAAATCAGACTTAGACAAAAGAGAAACAGAATAAGTACCGTAATCACAAAAGAATGCTCGAGCTTAGAAACCAGTCTGTAAAGTTCTGAACTTTTCTTTTGAGCAAAGTCTGGAAACATGCACAGAATACTATAAAAAGCACTAACCAGGCTACATGTTCTTGTAAAAGAGAGGTACAGTAAAAGCTTTTTTTGTAGAGTCAGCAATAGAAACTTTCGCATTTCGTGGCGAATTCCGACAATTGACTGAGAGTGGAAGGGGCGTGGTAGAAAGCACGCGTAATCTTGGCCACGATTGTGAACAGAAAACCTAAAATGACTCATTCCAGTTGCATTTTACATTAGGGGTTGCATTTATTTTTTCAAACGATAAATCCCTGGAGACAAATTATTCTTGGTAGGAGAAGAAGTTACTACGTTGTAAGCACCCGGGGTATGCCGGTCAATGACTGCTCTCGCAATGGATTTTGGATGTTCTTGGGCAAGCTAGATTTGCGTCGAGGTAATCTTCTTAATTCCCACCCTCTGCACGCGTGTGTGATAAGGCTATCACATACTCTGCTGCGGAGGCCGAACAAAACTAGCCGTATTGCTTTGAAGGCGATATATATACACCTACAGTATACGTTCGCAGTTGTCCTTGAGTAATGCCCATTGCTATCGAAAGTCGCCTGGCTGACAAAATGTCGCTCGCAACCAATCGCAAAAAAGGCGGGTTACCCGCGAAATCACGAAGCCTAGAAGCGGAGCAGCTGCGATTTTCGATAGAGCCAGAGCCGGGTGTACACGATGATGAGCCGCTCGCGCGCACGATCCCGAGCCTCGGCGAGCGAATATTCAAGCTGGCGTCGTCTTTGAAATCGCCGCGTTCAAGCTTCGAGGTGGCGACCGGGCCGAAATCCGTGCGCTCCGTGCTGGACGTGTACTTTGAAAACGACGTGTTCGTCGGCATGAACCACAGGCAACCGCAGAAGTGCACGTCGCACTACAAGTCGCGCATGAAGGGGACGATGAGAGCCGCAGGCGAAGGCCCCATGCTTCCGCACGGCGTCGAGGAGGTGCGGCGCAGGCAGGAGCATGTGGAGAATCGCGTGGTGCAGACGCCCGTGCTGATCTCTAGCGACGTGAAGGCACGGACGGGGGCGAGCGGTATCCCGCTGATCCGAGAGGCATTCCTGAGCGAGCTACGGGACCTGTACACAATGCTGTCGTCGATCGAGGCACGGCGGTACGACCTATGCCGGTCGGATATCCGGGCGCTGTACGAGTGGTACTCTGTGTTCGAAAACTTCCTGCGGGTGTACTTCTTCGTGTCAGAGTCAACCATCTACCAAGCCGGGCACGTGGACTCGTGGGAGGGCACAAGCGGTGTGCTGAGGAAGGCGGAGCGGATGCGTGAGAAGACGAAGATCCTGGGGCTGAGCGACAAGGTGCAGGCGATGAAGCGGGTGCTGCTCGGCGAGGGGGAGGGGGGCGAGCAGAAGAGCGTGAAGCCGCTGCGCGAGCGGGTGGACCGGCTGGCGGTGCGGCTGCACGGCTTCCTCGACGAGGAGGTGGGGCAGATCCACGCGGGGCTGGGCACGCGCTACTTGGAGGAGGAGCGCGATGCGATGTTCCGCGGCCTCGTTAACGAGATGCGTAGGCACGAGATGGGCAGGGGCATGGCGGTGCTCGTGGCTAAGGGGCTAGGCGGATCGGTGCGGGAGATGGAGAGGTGGCTGGTGGGGCATTGCGATCGGGCGGGGAAGCTCGCCGTGCAGAGGTGGATTGGGCAGTTGGCAGAGAGGCATTGCGAGTATGTTCGGCTGTTTGAGAAGGCGGAGTATGAGTATCGGAGGTTGTATACCCGGCTGGGGAAGAAAGTGGATAGGGAGATGGAGGGACTTCGTGCTGGAAGGAGCGGGAGGGCCTAGAAGGTTGGGAGAGGGAGGGGGTACGTAGTACGTAGTACGTACTACGTACGGTATTGTTTCTAGCTACGTGTAGTAATCAGAGTTTGTTGGCGCGGAGAATGGAAGAGACACGATAGTACAGTAGCGCTGGTTGCGCTCTAGGGGTGATTTTGCGACAAGAGGCGAGTTTATAAATAGCCTCTTGATCCCCTTCATAGGAGCAAGCCGTCACCTCTCTCCACGAAACTCCGCCCTCCCCGCCCTTCCCTCCCCCTCACCCCCGCTTCCAACATGTTACAAGCTCGAGGAAAATTCATTGGATGGCCAAAGCCCTCACCGACGCTCTGAAAGGTTCGATGACTGTGCACTTGATCATCCGTGCCGAGGTTCGCCTACGATCCGAAACATGGGATTTGCAACGCGTAATCGTGAGATTCCCAGGGCGGTGCACGAGCGCTATACATCGGGTGAGCGTGCTGAAGACTATGTTCGTCGGTGGTGGCAATCGGCGTCAGTACTGCGGGGTCAGACGACCTGCAGACGCGTGCGTGATGAGGCTGTCTGCAAATGGCGGCGGCCTCGGGGTTAAAACGGGCGGCTTCGCGCGCGGGCCGCAGTCGGCGCGCTCTGTCCTGGACGTGGGCGTTGGCAGCGACGTGTATGTCCGGGCCAACTGCGGGCAGCCGGAGAGGTGCACGTCGGGGGCGATGGGAGCGGGCAGTGAAGGGCGCGCGTGCTTCCGCACGGGGCCGAGGGGGCGCGGCGCAGGCAGGGGCACGTGACCGCACGGGGAAGCGCGCGGGGCGCCGCTGGACCGGGCCGCTTGGAGAGGCATTGCGAGGACGTGGGGCGGTTTGGGAAGGCGGAGTATGAGTGTGGGAGACTTTAGGCGAGGAAGAGCGTGGACAGGGAGAGGAGGGGCGTCGTGCGGAACGTGGTGAGGGTGGGGCCATAGGGCCATAGGGCTCCGAAGGTTCGGAGCTCTATGTTGCATGCGCGGAGATTGGGAGAGATGATGTAAATGGGGGACCTGACACTGGCAGGAGGCGAGGCTAGGCAATGGGACCAAAGGCAGGCGGTGTATGAGGTAGTGTGGCAGGAGGGGTTTTTGCAAGTTGTAATTTTTTGCCTGTAGTGCGGCTGTACCGTACACGTGTAAGAAAGTTGAGCAGCATAGTCGAGACGAATGCCGCTTAACGGGGCGCTTATGGCGGTCGGTCACCAATGCGGCAACCCGAGACAGCTTGCAAAACGCGCGGGGCAGAGACTCGCACGCGTCCAAGTTTCCTGATTCTCGCAACCTACGTGGCGCCACCTCGCGCCCCGACGCCATACGTCCGCAACGGCACCAGCACGTATTCAACCAAAAATACATACTGTACACCCACAGCTGTACCGCCCCACCTCCGTGTTGATCCCCCGTCTTATATGGCAACGCATCCCCCCTCAACAGTCAAGTCTCCACGGATCTACAGCTTTCCGCTTTCCCGCCCGCACCCCAACCCCCGCCCCGTCCTCGCCTTCCGCACCCTCCCGCGATTCCCATGCCGCAGCCCGCCTCCACGGCCACGGCCACCGCCGCCGCCGTCGCGTCGGCGTCGCCCGGCGGCGGCGCCCCGGTCCTCGGCGCGTGGCTCGTCGTGCGCCGCCACGCCTTCTTTTCCTTCCCCAAGCGCCGCTACGTCACGCTCACGGACGACCATGTCATCCTGGTCGACTCCACCCCGGTCCTGCACCTGGTCGACTGTCTTGTCACGTCCAACGCTTCGTCCAAGGTTATCGACCTCGCCCCGGCCCCGTCCTCCGGCGTCCCCGTCCGCATCTACGCCGACACCCCCTTCCAGTACTCCAAGTGGCGCCGCGCCCTCGCCGCCGCCTCCGCGCGCACCATCACTCGCTACTACGCTCTCGACCCACAAGCACTGCTTGGCGTTGGCGTCCATGGCATCGTCCGCAGAGGCTTCCCCACAAACCATCCCCGCGACCCGAGCATCGAGAGCGCCAGCACCGTCGCCTCGGAGTTTTCGCTCCACGTCAACGAACATCCTTCGCTTTCTTTGGGCCTGTTCAAGCGCCGCAACCACCACAGTCGCTCCCGCTCGCGCAACTCCATCGACATCGACCCGGAGGACAATAACACCGCCCACGACTTTCCCGAGCAGGCCGTCCCCTCGAGTAAGATGGATAAGCACGTCTTGCGCCAGGCTTCACTCACCCGTTCGGCTCATCAACTCCACCAACCCGATCCCGATCCTGCCACCGTCGCCGTCAAGAGCATCTCACGGAACACCAATGGCTCTGTCACCGTGGCGAGTGAGGTACTGTTCGCCAAGGCAAGGCTCAACCATTTCGCCATTATCAACGTCATCGATCTCTTCGAGACCGTCACCGAGGTCCACGTCGTCATGGAGGAATGCCTCGGCGGCTCGCTCGCTCAACATGTACATACTCATGGTCAGTTCTCAGAGCACCAAGCAAGACGGATATTCTCCGCGCTGCTCAAGGCCGTCGGCTACATGCACGCGTGCGGCATTGTGCACTGGGACATTTCTCCGAGTAACGTTCTCTTCCTGGGCAGCGAAACGCCGTTGGAACCCAAGATTATCGACTTTGGAACTGCTCGACCGATCGATCCTGCAAACGGACGCGTCCCGATCGAGTGTGGCATCTTTCAGGAAAAGGGCAAAGTCGCCAGCCTGGCTTGCGCCTCCCCGGAACTCCTCACTTCTAAAGCGCATCGATATGCCACCAAGGCTGACATGTGGCAGCTTGGGTGCGTCTTGTACTTTTTGATCGTCGGCAAACTTCCGTTCACGAAGCGAAACGTGCAAGACCTGTCGGTTTCTTCGACTATCTTGTCATTCTGTAAGAAGCGCAGCGCAGAGCGAAAGGAGTTTTTGTTTGGATCAACTGTAATTGGGACAAAGGAGGTCGGGGAAGATGCGAAGGATTTGATACTCAAGCTGCTTTGTCCAAACCCCAGGATGAGACCAAACGCACTGCATTGCTTGAAGGATCATGCGTTCCTTGCACAAGGTTCGTAGCAAAGCCATCAGTGTTAGTCGCAAGAGTAACTCATGCAGTGCACCGATGGGGTGGTGACACTGGCATTAGCCGTCATATAAGTGCGGCGAGGCAGGCGTAGTAGAAACTACTGTAGGTAATACAGTAGAATGATAGTTGCGGAAGATGGAGGAGGGGTTCGGAGAGGGGGGGAGGGGCGGACGAAGGCGCTAATCAGATCAGTTGTTGTGCTCTTTGCATCATTTTCGATGTGAGACGCAGTCCACCGGATCGAAGGTATGCAAATAGTGGACGTCTGATGCCGTTCGGGTGTTATTCGCCACGTGTGTAGAGCAAAACAGTATTAATTAGTGTGGAAGAAAGCATTGGATACAGCACAATACTCCTGTTGGCAGACGTGGCAAAGAGATGTCGATGTACTGTTGGGGAGCTGAGAACTACGGCGAAGATATGCGTAAAAATATTCAAAAATAGGACCCCAACCCCACGAAGCAGTCACTTGTGCGCACAGATGTCTGAAAGCGCATATGCGACTTTTGCTTGCGACTTTTGTTTGCCCTCATGCCGTCTTTCGTGGCACATACTGCTCTGCTTAGCACGCATCTCCGTTTTACATAGCCTTACTTGCACTCCGAAGTGACCATGCCTGGCAGCTTCTATTAGAGTCGTTCGTCTTTCGCTTGCTACCCACAAGGACGGAAGTGATGATGACTCCCATGCGAAGGGGTACCGTCCGTAACCTGGATTTAGTGGCATCTTCATAGCTAGGTTTACTGATACGTAGATAAGAGAAAATCATCTGACAGCATCGATTCGTGACAGGGCACCGGCAAGGGTAAGTCATAGACGAAACATTACTGCAACCGAGGAGCATGCAGCATGCAAACTACACGAACTACCCAAGGGTAGTACTTGCGTAACGGGGTAGAAAGCAAATTTTGCTGTTAAATGGCGAGTGTTTGGGCAAATTAGGGGTTTCAGAGGGGGCACAACAGGACTGCCATTTAGAAGTGCATGCACACTAGGTGTCTGTCACGATGTCAAGAGGGGTGCTTCTTGCGTGGCCAGCACGGTTGTCATGTGAGGGGACCATGTCCGGCTCCTGTTCCTGCACCCAAACGGGCTGAGTTGAAGGGGCCGTCAGGACCTTTGCGTGGCATGCCTTTATGCCAATTGCGTGGCTAAAGTGACACGAAGCGCGATATGATTATTACAAGCTCTATAGGCGATCTGTCGGATACAGTATCACGCCCCTATGACAGTTTGACAGGTTCGTACGAAACGCCTCTCGGCCGCCGAATGCCCGCTTTTTCTGCCTTCTGATCCACAAAGGGGAGGGCGACATTTCTCTAAATATGATACGCCGACCTTGACATATCTGTTAGGACAACAAAGGGGGCCAGTTATATTATTTGCGTGCGCCGTTCCATGCTTTTTCTATTTTGGCATGCCTTCGGAGCGCTTTCGCAAGCCCCCCAAAAAAAAGCCTGTGTGTAAGTACTTGTCACTGATGTGCCAGCTCGTCGCTTGTGCCAATGAAGGGTGAAATTTGGACACCTCTCGCGACGAAAATGCAATAGTATGCGCTTTCACTGTCATGTTGGCTTTTAACGATGTCATTCTAGGGGTTAAATACATGCGGCCGCAGCTTCTACCGCGCGGGAAAAGGTAAATTGGTGTCTCCCGAACTTGATACAGCATCGGGTGCAAGTTGGACCGGACTGTGCATACGAAATTGTCACTGCGGCAGTCCATACGCTCTTCATCCTCGGTAAACTTGCATGACGCCGGGCGAAAAAGACCTAGGTGCTGTAGAATGCCTTGACGAATGAAAAAGCGGTTCTTTTTGCTGTCAAGAAAGTTGTGGGGGTCCGCAAACTGCGAACAGTATATCACGCAAGGAGCGTAAACGCCCTTAGTAGCAGAAACTAGATACTGCTACAGTAGTGATACAATAGAACAAACTTGGGATACGTGCACAGTGCGTACGTGGTTCACTACCACTGCGTACTACGCAGTGGTGGTGGACCAATGATACCGTGTGGAATGAAGTTGATGGGACGGAGAAGAGATGGGGGCGTGAGAATACAGCCTTTCGAGCGGGAGACGAAACGGACCACTGAACGCAACATGCAACCTGAAATTTTGCGACGGACCACAAAGTTGGGGCAGTGGACGAAAATAGGCAGGTGTATGGACCAGTCTGTCACAGGTTTGCAGCACTGCGTGATGGAAGAATATAAATTTGGGCCTTCTATCGCGAGTAGCAACTATAAGGCGGCTTTTTGTGTGTTGGAATGGGGGCTGTTGTCCTGGACCCTGTTTTAGTTTGTGTGCAAACAGCAAGAGAGGGTTGAATAAAACGGGTTGGATGGACAAAATCTTGTTTAACAATGTTTAAAGGAATGCAACAGTGACAAAAGTAGAGGGGCAAGAACCTACAGTAGTACAAATATATTATTAGACAGTTCTGGCGGGCGAAATTTTGCCGCAAGTGCGACAGTAGGTCAAAAACGTTGAAAACGTACGCCAAGAAGATCCACTGGGATCACTGGGAGCCAGCGGAAGGTATGAAAATCCCAGTCGTGATAGATGACAGCCGGGAGGTGTTTTTATAATGTGTCTGTCGCCTTGTTTCCCAAAGAGCGCCTGCTTGTGAAAAAGGACTGCTGCTAAAAGCATTTTAAAGTTCCGTCAACTCTACCCGCTCGCTATTGTCATGTATTCACATAATTCGCTCCCGTAAATTCCTGTCTTCTTCACTAGCCCACCCCGAAACACATCCTGCTCGTATCAGACGCTATGCAAGCTTCTCTACCCCTCTCAACACTATAAATTCGCCTTTCTTCGGCGCCCCTTCAATGCCCCCTCCCGCCATTCTTTCACATCTCTCTTGACAAACACGCACCTCCTTCGAATCTTCGCCACTTTAAGTAGCTTCTCCCATCACCCAAACTACATCTTCCGGCATCCTATTTTCCCTCTCTCCGCCTCATTGCGCCTCCTTTCGCGCTACCCGCGTGTACTACATAAACAAAGGAGCCTCACTAATCACCCTGCCCTCTCCTGTCTAAGTTTACTTTTGCTACACTGTCTGTCGCACTCACAGCCTAACCCCTTCACCCCCCCCCCCCCCGCTTTTTCCCCTTGATTACCTTCAGCCAACCATGGCCAACCCGGACCGGCAGCGTGATCTTCTCTGGCTCCACACCGTTCGCGGAATTGCTTACCACGTCTCGAAGGTAAGACACTCTCCGAACTTCAACTCTTTCGCTCTTTCTCCGCCTGGGACACTTGTCCCTCAGTGTTTTCAGATTCGTCTAACCACTCTCTTATGAAATCGTTTTTGGGCAGATTGGAGACCTAATTGGGAAATGTGCGGATGACACAGAGAAGCTTGTCCATCAGAACTTACCATTAGATCCCTACGCTGCAAAGTCTGCTCCTCATCTCGAGCGCGAGCAAGATGACATGTCCGCCCGCCAACGTCAGCCTCATTGGGCCTGGCGCAGGGCTCCTGCTATCACTCCCAAAGCACCAAACGTCGTTGGACCAGCTCCCCCCGACGTAATGCCACCTCCCACCCACTCGTCTCGACACAATGGTCTTGTTCCTCGACCCTCGCCATACTATTATCAGCCGGAATATCCTCCTGCTTCTCTCCAGCGCAGATTTGTCCACCCAGACCACCAAATGGACGACCATGACTTTGACCGTTTTGCAAGGAAGCGTCCGTCTTCTGCTCCTAACGGTGATATGGATCACTATGCATCTCGAGAGGGTGACGAGAATATGCCCAGGCTCAAGAGAGTAAGGATAAACTGGACAAATCAAGAGAATGGAATCTTCTTCGATACCGTCAGAAGAAGCGCGACACTAGATGAGCAGAGTCTTATTCGCGCCATCGTGGCCAATATGGGTGGAAAAAGAAACTGGACTCAATGCAAGGGACACTTTAGGAATTTGGTTTTTGTCAACAAGATATCATTAGATGAAAAGACCAAGAAGTGGAGTGTCAATCCAGACGCGAAGAGGCCCATGCGGACGTCTTCCACTTCCGGAAGAGGTTCGGAGCAATCTGCGAGTGAAAGTGATGTTCGTCCTGGAGAGAAGGTTGAGAACGGCAAGAGCCAACCGTTGAAGAGCAGTAGTGAAGCTCAACAAGAGGATCACCAACGCATTGACAAGGACGACGATGAAGAGGAGGAGGAAAGTGCAGAAGTTGAAGATGTCGAACTTGGGGGCGGAGATGATGGTGACAGCAATTACGTGGCTCCGGATGAAGAAGAAGACGCCGAAAAACAGGTTGAAAAGCGCTCAGGGCACGGCAAAACCTCCGATACGAGAAGGAGATTAACAAATAGTGACGTGCAAAAGAAGAATGGCACCAATGGGGTTGACCAGGCTCGTACGCGAGCCCTTAAAGGATCACGAGGCGATTCCAAGACAAGTGACCGATCGCCTCGTGCGCTAAAAGGGGAGCGGCGTGTTGGTGATATGGAAGACGTTGCACGAACAATGCCACACCGAAAGCAACTCAGCGCACTGAAGGTTGAGAATGGTTCCAAGTCGTTCAACTCTCCGTCCCGCAGGTTGAAGGATATGAAGAGGAGGAACACTGCAGACTATCGTCCCACTGGATACGCTGAAGGGCGACGGTACTTGAAGCAGTAGGATCTGCGCGTGGCCACAGCTAATCTTTTCGGTGCGTTTGGTTGTACAAGCTCTGATCAAAACAGTGGTTGATCGTACTTTCTAGCTATACATTTCTGAGTAAATCTGACTCTTGCATCCCGGTATTATACTAGAAGGCTTGAAGCGATGTTTCCTAGCGACCTCTCTTTCTCAGGGTCAATAGTCTAAGCGAGTTTACCCATGTATCGTGTTAAGATACGACGGTAAAAGAGTTTTGTGCATCGTGGAAGATTTTCCTCTACAACTTTTTTTTACCAGAGTGACGAATGTCAGCAGTTAGTCACTGTTATACCCCGCTGTCCTGCCTGTTTTCACTCCCGTACGTTGGTCGGATCAGGACAATAACAAGTTTTGTCCACTACGTCGCTGTTGTCCCAGACCCAGGTCTATGCTGGTCGGTAGGTTCTCCGTTCATCAAGAAAACTCTGACTACATGCACCCCAGCACCATGCGAGAAGCACTCCGACGGACGTCAAGAGGCGTAAAAATAGTTCAGCTACAAGGACCGTTGAATCAGCAAACGCTAATACAACCAAAGCTCGCTAATCCGGAGACTAAATTCTAAGGAAAAGACTGTGAGAGACTGACGAGACGACAAAACCACATGAGTGTTTCTACGCAGTCGCAAGTCCGCACGAGTCTGTCGCAGATCACCATTTTCACATGCGCAGGCAAGGCAAAACTTTACATACAACGCATCCGCCGCACCCGCCGCACTTCACAGGGAGGCGCGTCGGGACGACTACGCAAGAAGGTGATCGACGCTTCAGGTCCCGCGGTGTGATGATATATCTCAATCTCACGAGGCTGCAAGATTTCAGCATTGTACAACTTCTGCTGGAATTGAAAAACAACAGCCATCCCCTCTGTCGAAATCGCGGTGAACAGCGCTCCCCGCAAGCTCCCGCTGCAAATCAATGCGAGTGGAGTTCCTTGAGAGCGATCCGTCCGCGCGTGAACAAATCCGTTGCGCAGTAGTAGAGAGCGCTGATAGGCAAGAGGCTTAGAAGCCAAGCTTCGTACGACGCCAGTGGCGGCGCTTGTTGTTGTAGCGGATCTTGGTGTCAACCTTCATCCGGAACCAGTTGGGAACCTGGCGGTTTTGCCGAGCCTTGCGGGCTAGCTTTTTCTTGATCATAAACGACTTGTGGGCGGGCTGTTCGGATGCGTAGCAGTCATGGATGTGAGAAGCGGGTTGTTAGTCGCGGTGACGAAAGTACGTCCAAATCCCCTATAAGGGGATCTGGTTTGCCGGAACGCTCGATTGTGGGACGGCATGGCCCTCACAAACTTACCATGGTGAGATTGGGTTGCGGGGGACGACGAGAGTCTCACAATGACCAGACGATAATGATGCAAAACTGACGATGACGATCTGTAGGGACTCGTTCGATCATTGTGAGGAACTTGGGCACCGACGTCGGGCACTCTGCGCGCGGCGGTGAGGTCATTTACAATTGATTATTTCCATTTACAATTTGCTGCGCAACTGCCAATTGAGTACGTCCACGTGTCCTATCTCGAAAGGAACGTGTTCTTGACACGTGTGTATCGCTGTCCCCTTTTCCCTTTTTCAAGAGGACAAAGGGTCCAGATATGGAATTATTTTTGAGGAAGAGAAATAGGAGAACACTTCTCACACTGAAAGTAAGACGTATGAAGCAGCATTCGCTAGACATGTGGTTGGAGGAAACCCGTTGAAAGAGCGTCGTAAAGGAAGTTTGGTGTCCTATGCTTGTTATGGGTTATCTACGTCTCTAGACATGTTTGAAGAAAGATAACTTCAATTGCTCGATAGATTCCTAATTCACTATAGACATATCCAAAAAACTGTACAGCGAAATGCTCACGCGGCTCCTGCACTTACTCATATAGAGGTGAGTGCCCTCCTTCGATTGCGCATGAGGCTGTAAATTAGAATAGGGCAAATGGCCGTGTCCTTTCGCCTGTAAGAGCTCTGGACCACAGAAGACAGTTTCACTGAAGGAAGTCGTTTTAATTCTCCTTTGTCGTCGAGTCTCCACCTACAAGCCTGCAGACTACTGTTTTTCAAACTTTGAATCTGTGCAAAAAACTGACAGCCCCCGAGGCGCCAAGGCTCAACGCAAATCACGTCTTGTTTTTTCTAGCTTTTGCAAGGGGCCTCACTCTCGACGAGACACGACTTCCGATACGTACGGCTACAACATACTTGAGGCCACAGAAAAGGTATCTCTTCCGCAAAAAGGCAGGAGCGCTCCTTACGAAAAGTAAAACCCTCTAATCAATTGAAAAACGGAAGCGCATCGTACATCTGTCAGATGCTTGTACTCGGAAGAGTGCAAGTCGTACGGGCTACTTGACATCTCGTTTAAGTCCTGGTGCCGCTGCAGTATCAGACGATTAGGCGTGTCACTGAACTCATTTAAGTGAAGCCTTGCATTGGGCCTTGGGTTTCCGAAATGGCCTTTCGTTGATTGAATCCTTCCGCCTCTTGCTGAGTGAATGAAACGAAGAAGACAGCGAATTAAACGGACGTAGTCCTTGACGTGGTTTCAGCATTTTCAAAACCTTTGGCATCGTCAACCGCGGACTAGATCACTTAGCTTGAAGGCTCCTTCAACGTGTCTTTATACAGCGCTGAATGCTCTGAAACGCAAACTTAACTGCATTTTACACAGGCAGCGCCAGTCGTGCAAGCAGATTTAAACGCGCTTTTCAACCTGCTTATGCATCTAGCGCCTTAACCTTTCTCCATCAAGTCGATGCGAGATCCCCTTTTGTCCACGGAGCGTTTATAAGTTAAGTTAGTGACCCGCTTTCATTCACAATGCGCAGATTCTTTGCCATGTTCCTTTAGAGTGTACAAGGCCCGGTAGACGCTACCCCCCTTATTGAAGACAGCAATCTCTCGTTCAGTCGGGACGCCTATTGGGTTTTCTACTAACCAGCCCTCCATATCGCATTCAAGCCCGTTACTGTCTCCCAGTCTTTGAAACCCACCGTGGCCATCGAAAAATGACCTCATCTCGATAGCAACCTCTATCACATCGCTTTGGATAAATACCTTTCTCTTGTACGATTCACCACCAGCTGCAGCGTGCTTCAGAGCCTTGAAGATTTCCTCAACGAGCGGAGGATTGACAATCCGTCTCTTAGCATGTCTCTTCTTAAACCAGGGGTCGCAAAACTGTACATACACCTCACGCAAAGCACCTATGGGAGCGTCCGCCAAGACAGCCGCCAGGGAAACGTTGGCATTACACGCAAGATAGAAAAGATTGCCACGACCAGCGCTCGCCGCTGCTCGATTCGCCTGATGCACAAGCGGCTCGCGAATCTCCAGTCCCAGAAAATTGCGGCTCGCATCAGAGGCAGCCAACTTGGCCAGAAAGCGGCCTTTGGCGACGCCTACGTCGACGACGAGCGGGAGCGAGGGGTCCTGAAAGGCCTGGCTGTACCACTCGTGCGGGAGTTGGAGCGGTTGCGACCAGCGGCGCGCTAGAGGGTTGACGTGCTGGCGGACGCGAACGGTGCCGTTTTCTACAGAGCCTTGGCCGGTCGCGGGCGGCGGCTGGATCTGTTGCGCGAGCGTGAGTGGGCGTTGGGCTGGCTTCATCGTGCGATGGGGGCGCGGGGATAGGTGGTGCGTGGGCGGAGCAACGGGGCGGGCGAGGATTGTGACGGGTGCGGCGAAGGCGAATGTGGTCATAGCATGGGGTGACGGGTTTCCGTTGCCTTTCTGGGACTTGAGATTGGATGTCCTTGGGTCAGTGTGAGTTGAGCAGAGCTTTGTGACGGCGTATGCTTCCGGTTTCACGATCGACGGAAGGACGATGGGTAGACTGGATGGTTCGGGTTCTGAAAACGAGTCTGGTAGAGAACTTGGCAAACACGTGTACGGGCTCTGGCATTATCATACTATACCTGTTCTTGAACTTTGCGAGGCCTTGCAAGTTTAGTACAAGTTTAAAGTTTGAAGTGGGGAGGATAGCGTGCTAGGTGCACGTTCCCGACAGGAAACGGAAGGCTTGCTAATCTATGCAATTTGGGGGGAAAGCAAACCTGCAGCTAACCTGCAGCTCACATTCCCTCCAAGTGAGAGTAATACTACAGGATGCATCCATCAAAGACAGCAAACAAAAGCTGCGTGCGCATTTGCTGTGTGGGGCAGGTGCGATTGCGTCAATGAGGGAACTGACTTTGAGGTAAACGATAGGCAAGGGGTTAGAGGGGACTTTTTGGCATTGCTATGACAACTCCCTGCAGTTTATTGGGAATACTCTGGTCAGGTTTGCACGTAATCAACCCAAACTCAAAGCGATATGGACAAGTTAGTAGAACACTTCAGGGGATTGTCGAGAGGAAGTCGATGAACAAGTCGATGTGAAGTCAAAAATGTTGTAGCAACAGTAAGCGGTAAAACTTGCAACGTAACTTCGAACACAAGAATTTGGCAAGAGAGCCGCAAAAGTCGTGGTGCATAGCGTACAAGTACGGTAGCATGTCACCGGTTCGAAGAAATAATCTTCGAAAAATCTCAGAAACACGCCAAGTGTCGACACACCAGTGGGGGCCATGCTGCAAGTATAGGAGGATCTGGTGGCTTCTCTGAGCCCGGAGGTGCGCCCATTGGACGTCTTAGCGGCTGCAATTGCAGATTTTTCAAAGTGACACAGCTGTGGTGCAGCAGACGCGTCTCCATCGCATCTACTTGTTTGCCATTACCCTACGGTTTCAATATAAACTCTCCGAAGTCCTTCTCCACACCCGCTCCCTCCCCGCCCGTCACCCCACTCACCACTCCTTCCTACCCTCTTCTTACCAGTTTTTTTTTACCTCCACTTTCTTTCATCATGATTGCCTTCGTCTCCGGCTTCGCTGGCGCCTCTGTCGCCCGCTCCAATGCCTTCTCTGGAACTAGCGTCTCTACTCGCTCGGCTCCCGTCGTCGCAAATGTCTCCATGTCCATGAGCAAGTCCATTCCATACATGGAGCGCCCGGCCAAGCTTGATGGGTCTTTGCCAGGCGATGTCGGCTTCGACCCCCTCGGTATCTCCAACATGTTCGAGCTGGACTTCCTTCGTGAGGCTGAAGTTAAGCACGGTATGTTTCGTTGTCCCATACCGCCTCATGGGCTTTGCAATACGTATTCGTACTGTCGCGATCGCGCAGATGATCTAACTGTTTTAATCTTCCCTGCAACTATCAATTGGTTCTCTCTCTACACCCTGTCCGCGTTCTTGTCAACAGGCCGTATTTGTATGCTTGCCATAGTCGGCTGGGTCTTCCCCGAAATGGTCTACCACCTCCCGAACGCCGCCTATAGCGTCACCAATCCGCTGTACGCCGTACCCAGCGTCGGATTCCTCCCTTGTATCCAGATTCTCCTTTTCATGGCCGTATGTGAGGCCGCCGCATATAAGAAGGTCTATGAGCAAAACTGCGAAAACCCGGGGGACTTTGGAATTGATCCCCTCGGCTTTTCCAAGACACCAGAAAGAAAAGCTCACTACCAGCTCGCAGAGATCAAGAACGGCCGCCTTGCCATGATTGCCATTGGCGGCGCCATCCATCACGCTTTGCTCACCAACGTTGGGCTCTGGGAACAGATCCAATCTGGCATGTACAGTAAGTTTCGAAGCAGTTTTCACTCGCACCCTTTGTATTTGAGACGTACTCAGTGTAGCAAACGAATGCTGACAAACGCCCTTTCTTTCTTGATCCATTTCATCATGTGTTGCGAAACACAGCCGGCGGTTACTACATCCACTAGGCCAGCAAGTCTGCACGTGTAGTGTTGTATAGAAAGGTTCCTCGGGAGGAAGGCGTGTTTGTACGGGCGTTGGCGGAGCGCGCACCTTCTCGACGTGCGTCATCTGCGGGAACAGGATTCAAAAGTCGCAGGCACCGCGTGTCAGCGTCTTTGTAACGGTGAAACAAGAGGACACAAGAGGATACAAGAGCTGGTTTGGTACCGCGCAGAAATAAAGCTTCAGGTTTTGCTTGTTTTTCAAAATCTTGTTTTACCTCTCGCATTCTGTATAGCGTCTGAATGAAGAAAACGAGTCACGTGAGGGAAGCAGACTCCTGATCAGTGATATTTTGGACCTGCTCATGTTCGATGGGTTCTATGTCAATGTCTGGTACGTTTGGGCTGCATCTCTCCCATGGGTAAATGACCCAGTTTTCCGTGGTGGTTGAGTAGAAATCCGGCATCGAGTCCGAATGCGTGTTCATGGCAGGCTTGTAGTGCAATGTAGCAACCTTAACGAGGGCCGGCTTTGCCCTTTCGACACGGACCTTGACGGAATGGGCGGTGCGTCCGCTATCCCAGACGTCATCGACGACGAGCACGCGCCTGCCCTCCAAGGCGTCGGGGCTGGGAAAGGACAGAAACCTGGGCTCGGTCATGCCGAAGAACTGATCTCCGGTGTCGGTGTAGAACAGGACGGTGGTGGAGAGCAGGTTGCGGAGCTCGAGGGCCTCGCACACGAGGGTGGCCGGGATGAGGCCGCCGCGCGTGATGGCGAGCACGACGTCGAAGCGCTCGGGGGCGGCGGCGGCGGAGAGGTCGCGGCACATGGACTCGACTTGCGGCCACGTGACGTGCTCGAAGGTGCGCTTGGCGGCGGGGTTGGCGGGGGGGGTTTAGCGATGCGCTGGCTAGCGGCGACGCGCGGTGCGCGGGGAGGCGGCGCCGGGTGAGGGAGGGTCGGAGCGGAGCGGACGGGAGCGGAGGGGGCGGGGAGGCGAAGGCGGGGTGTGGAGGGGCCATTGGTGCGGGGGAGACGGATGAGGAGCGACGGATGAGGAGCGACGGATGAGGAGCGACGGATGAGGAGCGACGGATGAGGAGGGACGGGAAGGGCAGCGGCAGGAAGAAGATTTATGGCAGCCGGGGTGGGTGAGTTTGTTGCATGTCGTAGCGAGAAGGAGACAGGTGGGGCGGATGTGTGCCGAAGGGCCCTAATCGCTTTGAGATCGCCAACACAGCGTCTGCATATCCCAAATCATATCGATTCGCAGTACACGTGGCTTACGTGGACGGCGAGCTCCAAGATATACAGTACAAGATATACTGTACAGCTTGCGGAGCTTTGCACACGGGAGGACCGCAGCGAGGCCCGAGGAGGCACACACATTCCGCCCCCCCCATCTTAGACTCCCACATCGTCGTGCCCCACTATCACGATATAGGGTGTATCCCTTTATCAACACCCAACACCATGACATTCCATCGCGTATAACAAATTACGTGGAATCCCACAAACAATGACAACCTTGTTCTCATTCCCCATTACTTGCAGGTGATGCTGCTAGGCAAAAAAAGACAATGCACATCCGTCACAGCCACCGCGGTCCTCTCGTCCCAGTATAAATAATCCGCGTTCAGTGATCAGCATCACTGAGCAAAATTGCCTTCCCCCGCCCTTATGGCTTGGTGCCGACACTCACATGTACCTCCGGGTTACTCGGGTGGTCCTTTTCATCGAGGAGATGTGCCACAACGTCCTGGCGATCCGTGTCCGCGACATGCGCTTCGCTCTTACTTGACTTGAGAGCCGGAATAGTATCGCGGTACTTGGACATGGCAAACGCCATCTGGCCGCCGAGCGCAACCAACAATCCTATGACGTTGAGTGGGGTAGGGACGTAACCCCACGAGAAAAAACCGAGCAGGGATTGCAGGACGTTTTTGACCTGACCAGCGACGGACGTTGTCAACGGGGACGTGACGTGGGTGCAAATGGAGGTGGACAAGTTGACGCAGAAGGCGGAGGCGGCGACGAAGGAGAGGGCGAGGAGAAAGAGGGGAGAGTCGCGCAAGCCGGGGGTGTTGTAATAGAAGGAGATGGAGCGGTGCAGGTCGCCCGTGAGAATGGCGATGGCGAGAATGATGGGGAAGCCCATGATGTTGGAGTAGTAGAGGAGGGAGATGGGGTCGAGCGAGAGGTCGCGCATGACGCGTTTGATGGAGGCTAAATAGGCGGCCGTGAGGGCGTTGTTGGCAAAAACGAGGGCGTAGCCGGTGTAAGTGAAGGTGACGTCACCCAGGGCGGAGACGAATGCGCCGGACGTGAGGACGAAGACGGAGACGACGACGGGCTTGGGGTGGGTTTTGTGGAGCATGAAGTACTCTGCGCCCATGACGAAGAGGACGGTGAGGCGGCGGAAGGCGGAAAACATGGGGATGTTGACGCGCGAGAGGGCGGACAGGCCGACGGTGACGTTGGCGATGAAGAAGAGGGTGGAGGTGAAGATGCGGTGGTAGTCGGAGGACTTGACCGGGGTGATGGAGACAAGGTTGGGCTTGAGGCGCGACATGACGAAGAGGAGGATGACGGTGAGCGCGGCCTGCAGGACCATGAGGGAGGAGGGGAAGGCGAAGTGGAAGTGGGTGAGGCAGGCTTTGTTGACGAAGATGGCGCCCAGGGAGGAGCTGCAGAAGAAGAGCACGGAGGCGACGATATGGCGCACGGAGGGCGGCGCGGAGGGGGAGGACGTCTTGGCAGGGGTGTGGCGTGACAGAGTGGGAGTGTGTGGCGGGCTGGAGGCGGAACGGCGGCGGTAATCGTCCATTGCGTGTGCGTGTGAGTGTTTGGGAGGAACGAGATGGGAGCGGCACGAAGGGGGCGGACTGGGCTGGGGGGGGGGGAGGGGGGAATGGGGGGCGGTGTCATTGCAGTGACTGCGAAAGAAAGCGGTTCTTTTTCCCGTCCAGGTGCACTTGACGTATGTGTACTCCTTTCTGCTTCCATGTGCGGTACTGTACGTAGACTGTGGGGGATTTCGGTGATTGTTGGGTGCAAGGATATTCAAGAACTCTCCATGCGGGTTTGGGTTGTACAGTAGATGCATAGTTACGCTCTATGTAGTACTGTTTATGAGAAGTTGTACTGTGCTTGTGCCCAGCCTCAGTACAAACGCGAGAGGGAGTTCAGCTTGAACAGTGAGTGATCTGTTCCTATTTGTGAAATAATTATCTGCAAATCGTGCAGTATGGTATCAAAGA